AAGCTTGACAAGTTCGCAAAAGATAGCGAGAGAGAGGAGAGAGAGAGAAAGAGCTAGAGAGAGAGAGATAAAGAGTAGAACAGATATCACTACACCTCCTCCTTTTCCCGCTATTTTCGGTTTTCTTTTGTTCAAAAAATGGCGCTCGTTCCCCCTGGCTACTCCTTACTCTGTTCTAGTTGCGAAAGCTTTTGATCGGCTGCAATCTACAGGCCTACGCCCGCCAACTTTTGAAACATTCCGTTTTTAAAAACGTCTTTTTTTGGCCAAGCCAATTTTTTGGAAATTTCTGCCTGTTTTCGCCTTTTTTTGTTCGCTTTTTCCGGTACCACTCATTTTTTTTGTGAGCCGCCAGGAATGAGAGTTGCAAGGCGGAGAAAATTCAGGTTGCCGGGGCGAACTATTCGGGTTTTTTTGGCTCCACGATGGCCTTGGTCGGGTGTTGCAGGGTGGCGTTGATGAGCCGTGTCCAGCCCTCCTTTCTAGGCAGCTGGAGCGTTGAGGCGATGCTCAAATGGTCTCTGCTAGCCTGCCCCGTTCCATTCCCAAATGATCTCTGCTAGCCTGCCCCTTCCATTCCCAAATGATCTCTGCTAGCCTGCCCCTTCCATTCCCAAATGATCTCTGCTAGCCTGCCCCTTCCATTCCCAAATGATCTCTGCTAGCCTGCCCCTTCCATTCCCAAATGATCTATGCTCGACTGCCCCTTCCATTCCCAAGTGATCTCTGCTAGCCTGCCCGCCTTTGTACGCCCTCGCCCATTTGACCGCAGGCGCAAAAACGGGTTTCAAGCGTCTTGGGTGCAGCAGTACGAAACCCTCTGCCGAGGGAAAGGAAATTTTAGCACTGTGCGAGGGCAGGAGGCAAATCCCAATTGACCTCTGCTAGCTTGCTTTCGCCCGAAATTTTTTTGTTCGATATTTCGAAAATACTGGGCTGGAATTCCACATATTTCCAAGAATCTCTGCTAACTGGCTTGATTTGAAGCCTCCATTTAGGCAATGATCCCTGTTAACCTTCCCAAAGATCTCTGCTGGCCGGCCTCACCAAGTCCCGCTTTCTCTAAACGACCTGAAATTTCTTTTTTGCTTAAGCAGGCCTGCTACGTTACGAACTTCGATATTATAAAGTTTCGACATTATGAAATTTTGATACTATGAATTTCGGCATTTTGAATTTCGGAATTACGAAATTTCGACGGTATGATTTTCGACATTCTAAACTTGAACAATCAAATGTCAGCATTATGGTTTTCGACATGGTGAATTTCGATATTATGAATTTCGACATTACGATTTTCGACATTAGTACCTTCGACATTTTAGAAGTAAGCCGCCAGAACCACGTCTACTCCTGATTCCGCCTCGCGACAAAGTCCAGCGCCCGCCAAACCGTCCTTGGAACGCGGGCGTTCCCCCCCCCTCCTAAAAGCTGCCCCCCGCGGCGAGATGCAAATTTTTCCATTTTGGGTGCCGTCGGCGGCTGTCGTTCCGTGGGGATACAATTGACGGACGGACGGGTGGGGGGGGGGGTTGGCCGAGATTCGGGTTTGATGCCGCAGGGCTTTACCGGATCGTCAGTCTTCGTAGGTAGAAGCTGCGGACTCAGGCGGATCGTTGCTCTCTCTCTCTCTCTCTCTCTCTCTCTCTCTCTGGCTCTCTCTCTCGCTCTCTCTGGCTACCATGAAAAAATTTTTCCTAGGATTTTTGGATTCCATCTTGTTGCGCGGGGGCTTTCCCGCTGCGCCGTGTCGTATCTGTTTTTGACCCGAGACTACGAGAAATCGGCCAGGGCGCCCAAAAATATTCAGAAAAATTGGTTCTGGCCGCCAAGCTAGGGCCGAATAAAATAGAATAAAATGCCTGTCAAATTTGGGACTTTCAGAAACACTATTAACATGTTTTGCTCTCTATGGCCCTCTCTCTCGCTCTCTCTCTCTCGCTCTCTCTCTCGCTCCCCCTCTCCTCGAATTCCAAAAAAGACAAGAAAATCTCATGACAGAACTTTGTCAACAGCTTTATCCTTCTCCATTCCCAAAAAGGAACACGGTGGATAAGAATCTGCTCAAGCACCCACCCACCCCCCTTCCCCTGATGGTATGGCGAGATAAATCAATTTTTTAGTGCAGCTGTTTAACGGAAAAATAAAGGGGCACAGAACCAAGCGGCTGAGCTCTGATCGCCATCTGGCGGAATCTGGAAAAGCCACATTTTGATTTTTATAGCCTTAGCTTTCTACAATCTTTCTCTTTCTCTCTCTCGCTCTCTCTCTCTCTCACTTTCTCTCTCTCAATCGCTCGTTTAATTTGTACTCAAAAGCCGTAAGAAGGCCAAAGCGCCGTTTTTCTTGCCCTCCCGAAGGCTGTCTATCCAACGCCTTCCGCTTTGTGGATACTTTAATGGCTAGTCAAACCGTCCATTTTTCGCTCCCTTTCTTTTGCCCCCGTCTCATCCTTGGTCTAACGGCTATTGTCACCCCTAAACTGTCGACACCGACCGCAATTCGAGGTTTTTCAGGGGCCATAAAAATAGCATCTTGTACGGGGCTGCAAACCTTGGAACAGTTCCGGGATCGGCGACCTCGGTCAGGGCAAACTAGCAGAGATCATTTGGGAATGGAAGGGGCAGGCTAGCAGAGATCATTTGGGAATGGAAGGGGCAGGCTAGCAGAGATCATTTGGGAATGGAAGGGGCAGGCTAGCAGAGATCATTTGGGAATGGAAGGGGCAGGCTAGCAGAGATCATTTGTGAATGGAAGGGGCAGGCTAGCAGAGATCATTTGGGAATGGAAGGGGCAGGCTAGCAGAGATCATTTGGGAATGGAAGGGGCAGGCTAGCAGAGATCATTTAGGAATGGAAGGGGCAGGCTAGCAGAGATCATTTGAGTTCCCAGCCCCTTTAAAACAACAAAACACCTTTCCTTTGCCCCAGCGCGATTTCAGGGTTTTCTTTGTGTGTTTTTTGACCCCACACGCGATGGATGGCATCCTCCCGTGCCCGTCCTAGAGATTCTATCGCCGCAGGAGCTCAAAAATTGCCTCCGAGACCCGGAGAACGAGCCACCGTACCTGTGGCAAACCTCTCTCGTCGCCGGCCTGCCTTCCCAAATGAGCTCTACTAGTAGGCCTTAGCAAGCTATTTTCATGAAAATTATGTTTGCCTTCATGGCTCCTGTAAAAATGGTCTCTTTTGCTCTCCTATCTCGGCTGGGTACTGAGTTCCTGAGGCGGCGCGGAATTTCCGCAGAAATCGAGTAAAAATTTCAGGGATAGGATAAGCCGATCAGAGTTTCTCGCTCCTCACTTGAAATCCATTGTCTTACCCCGGGCGCCGGGTTCCAAATTTTGCCCCAACCCTGGGCGGGAAATGAGCCGCAGCCTCCGGGGGAGAAAATCGGGCACAATGCCCGATTTTCATGACCAAATTTTCTCCCCCATTTTCTGCCTTCTCTCAAGGCTTTCCACAGTTTGTATCAAAATCCCTGCTGCACAAACCCCCCAAATGATCTCTGCTAGCCTGCCCCTTCCATTCCCAAATGATCTCTGCTAGCCTGCCCCTTCCATTCCCAAATGATCTCTGCTAGCCTGCCCCTTCCATTCCCAAATGATCTCTGCTAGCCTGCCCCTTCCATTCCCAAATGATCTCTGCTACCCTGCCCCTTCCATTCCCAAATGATCTCTGCTAGCCTGCCCCTTCCATTCCCAAATGATCTCTGCTAGCCTGCCATTAGCCATTTTTTGGCCTCTTTTCACGCGGTTTTTCTATACCAAAAGTCCATAAAACCTCAAAATTTTTGGTAAAAAAACCCCAAAAAAAATTTTTTTTCTAGGATTTTTGAACTCCATTTTGTTGCGCGGGGGCTTTCCCGCTGCTCTTTGTCGTATCTGTTTTTGACCCGGGACTACGAGAAATCGGCGGGGGCGCCCAAAAATATTCAGCAAAATCTGGTTCTGGCCGCCATGCTAGGGCGGAATAAAATAGAATAAGATGCCTACCGAATTTGGGCCTTTCGGAAACACTATTACTTTGTTTTGCACTCACTCTCTCTCGCTCTCTCGCTCTCTCTCTCTCTCTCGCTCTGGCTCTCTCTAGCTAATTCTCTCCTCCGGCGTAACTTCCAGCGCCCAAACTTGTGCCATTCTCGAGTTTTGCCTTGTCCGGCTGCTGACCTTGTCTCCAAATAAATTAGCTCCTTCTCGCGGGCTGAGCACGACCTCTCCAAACCCACCCGAATCCTATTGAACTCTTGTTAGCACCTTTTGAACCCCTTTTCACCGAGGCGAGTGGCACTCCGTTTGTAGGGCATCAAACCCCAGATTTTTGACGAGCCAGAATCCCCAAATGATCTCTGCTAGCCTGCCCCTTCCATTCCCAAATGATCTCTGCTAGCCTGCCCCTTCCATTCCCAAATGATCTCTGCTAGCCTGCCCCTTCCATTCCCAAATGATCTCTGCTAGCCTGCCCCTTCCATTCCCAAATGATCTCTGCTAGCCTGCCCCTTCCATTCCCAAATGATCTCTGCTAGCCTGCCCCTTCCATTCCCAAATGATCTCTGCTAGCCTGCCCCTTCCATTCCCAAATGATATCTGCTAGCCTGCCCCTTCCATTCCCAAATGATCTCTGCTAGCCTGCCCCTTCCATTCCCAAATGATCTCTGCTAGCCTGCCCCTTCCATTCCCAAATGATCTCTGCTAGCCTGCCCCTTCCATTCCCAAATGATCTCTGCTAGCCTGCCCCTTCCATTCCCAAATGATCTCTGCTAGCCTGCCCCTTCCATTCCCAAATGATCTCTGCTAGCCTGCCCCTTCCATTCCCAAATGATCTCTGCTAGCCTGCCCCTTCCATTCCCAAATGATCTCTGCTAGCCTGCCCCTTCCATTCCCAAATGATCTCTGCTAGCCTGCCCCTTCCATTCCCAAATGATCTCTGCTAGCCTGCCCCTTCCATTCCCAAATGATCTCTGCTAGCCTGCCTCCAGTTCCCAAAGATTCTTTTCAGGGCATGCGCCCCCTAGAGCGGGCCTTCTACAAGTACGGCGAGCTGATCGCCCGCCACCCTTGGCCGTTCATTGTCAGTTTTTTGGCCTTAAAACCACATAGGCATTTAACCAAGCTTTTAAACCGCAGATATTTGCTTCCAGATTGTCCCCGCGCTGCTGACGGTCGTCTCCACCTACGGGTTCCTGTTTTTCCACACACAGGTGAGTGCCGACTTTCAAAAGCAACGGTTTTCACTCCGGTATTGGCTTCGAGCTTTTTAAGGTTTTCATGATAATTCTTAAGTCATTTAAGGTTTGTTCAAATTGTAATTTCCAGGACGACATTTGGGACATTTATGCGCCGACAAATGGGTTGAGTCGCGTCGAAGAAAAGGCGCTCGAGCGCTTCGAATATGCGAGTGGAAGTCATCACCATAGGGTAGGGGAGAAAGAGAGAGAGATAGGGAGAGTGAGAGAGACAGAGAGAGAAAGAACAGAGAGAGACAGAGAGCGAGAGATGGCGAGAGAGAAAGAGAGATAGAGAGAGATAGAGAGAGAGAGTGAGAGAGAGAGAGAGAGAGAGGGAGAGAGAGAGAGTGAGAGTCCTGGCGCCATTATTTTTTGCCGGTACCTGAAGATGCGGAAACTCCTTCTCTATCTGTCACTCGCTTGCTCGCTCTCTCGCTCTCTCTCGCGCTCTTTCCCTCTGGCTTTCTCTCTCGCGCTCTCTCTGTCTCTCGTTGCTCTTTCTCTCTCTGTCGTCTCCACCACCCCCAATTTTTAGATGCAAATCCTGGTCTCAAGAAAAGACGGTGGCAACCTGCTCGAAATGGTATATCTGGATGAGATCGACCAGACGCATCGTTTCATCCAAGAGAATGTGACGTCCACAAACGGCAACGACACCTTTCTATACGCGTAAGCTGGCAGGGATCATTCCGGAATTTTTGGTGACCGCTCCAAAACGTGCCCTGGGTAAACTAGGGATCATTCCGGAAACATTAACCTTGAAATCTTGCGACTTTTAGTGAAATGTGCGGCGTCTACTGTCGGGACAGCAACGCGGCGGTGTTGGCGTTTTTGAAGGTAGCCTAAGCGAGATAAAAAAAATCGGTTGACAAATACAGGCCACGATAGAATCCGGATCCTCTCAGCTCGTCTTCACCTTCCCAAAGGCCACGGCTTTCAACACCGAGGTAGCTTTTTGGTCTTAGCGGCCAGAAACTTTGCTTTCCACAATATTCTCTGCCAGCTCACTCTCATTTTCAGGCAACAAAAGTTTCTTGATCCGGCTAATTTTTGGTTGTGTAATCGATTATTGATAAAGTTTTTTAGTTTCTCTTTCTCTTGCTCCCTCTCTCTCTTTCTCTCTCTCTCTCTCACTCTCTCTCTGTCTCTCTCTCTCTTTATCTTGCTCTCTCTCAATACGTATCCCTCATTCTGTCTGGCTCTCTCGCTCTTAGGCTCGCTCTCATCTCTATGAAAACCCCTCGCCCTCGCTCTCTCTCTCTCTCTCTCTCTCTCTCTCTCTCTCGTCTCTCTCTCTCTCCCTCTCCCTCTCCCTCCATACCGTATCATAAAACTTTTAAGCAGTTTTAGTCACAAGTTTTAACGTTAACGGAAATAGTATCCTTTTTGAGGCCTTCCTCGGGTATTCCATCGGAAATTTGACGCGAGATTCGGCTGGGATCGTGCGTGAGGCACGGCTGATTATCCTGCACTATATGGTGGACACTTCACTGCCGAACGGCAAGCAATTGGCACTGAATTTCGAGATGCAGTTGAGGAAGATTTTTGAGGTGAGAGAGATGGAGAGAAAGAGCGAGAGAGCGAGAGAGAGAGATCGTCCTAATCCCTCTAATTCCACAATTTCCAGGTATTGACACATGGAAGCGGAAAACTGGATTTTGCCCTCCTGAGCCGAACGCGAGAATTGGAAGAGCAGAGGTATTCAAAAGAACTTGTTACAGAAAATGTCCGAACTTTAGAGCGATCAGCCTGACGTCGATCCCGTACCTCTTCGTGACGGCGCTCGTGCTCCTCGGCTTCATGATCATCACCCTGTTTCAGCTGCCCTTTCACCGTAGCCAGCACATTGAGGTTAGGCAGCGCCTGGTGCGGCTTTTCTCTCACTCACTCTCTCTCTCTCTCTCTCTCTCTCTCTCTCTCTCTCTCGCTCTCTCTCTCTCTTTCTCACCCTAAATCCATGATTTCAGGCAATAATCGGTGTCGTCTCACCCGGCATGGCCCTTTGGACGACGGCTGGATTTCTTTGGTAAGTCGGTGTTGAAACTAAAGGGCCTCGGAAGCCTAGAATCGACCCTCCCACCAACTAGGTCTAGTTTAGACGTGACACTCCAAATGCCGCTACGTTGTACTCTTTTAATGAGATCTCAGCAGAAAATGCATATTTTACAGTCGACTTTTGCAATCACGGGCAGCTGTCTAGACCTAGTCGATGCCTGGGGGTAGATGCTCGCGATTCTCGGACCCTAAAACGCGTTTCAAAGCCAGAATTTTGACGTCTATTTCATTCCAGGTGGGCCGGGTTCCCGTTCTCGAACATCCTGACCGTCGTTCCGTTCCTGGTCATCACCATCGGCATCGACGACGCGTTCCTGGTACTGGCTGGGTGGCGGCAGAGCACGTGAGGATTTTAGACTCCGGGAGGGCAAAGCGCGAAAATCCCGACGCGCGAAACGGTAATGGACTATTAGCGGGGGTGGGAAGTGTTAGCACCAGGCTAATTTTTGTTTTTCTACGTATTCCCCCTGCTAACAGTCCAGTACCTGGAAACCGTGACAACCAGAATCCTGGCATTTAAAGTTGTCGGTATTTTAACCGGCACTCGCGCTGATTGTCTAGAACTAGTCGACGGTGCGTACATTTAACTTTACGTACGGTACTTGCCTGTACATTTAACGGATTTTTGCACAGCAAATTATGACGTTAAGGATGCTCAAAGCCCAAGCACAAGACAAAGCCTAAGCCTATTGCTAAGCTAGCCCAAGCCTAAAAGCCTATGCACAAGCCTAAGGCTAAGTTTAAGCCTAGGCCTCAGCCCAAGCCTAGGCATAAGCCCAAGCGCAAGCTTAAGCCCAAGTCTAAGCCTAAGCCTAAGCCTAAGCCTAACCTAAGCCTAAGCCTAAGCCTAAGCCTAAGCCTAAGCCTAAGCCTAAGCCTAAGGCTAAGCATATGCCCAAGCCTAAGTCTAGGTCTAAGCCTAAGCCTAAACCTAAGCCTAAACCTAAGTCCATGTTGATTTCAATCCATTTTTCAGCCCTGGCGCCTCTCTCGAACAGCGGATGGCGGAGAGCGTTTCCATCTCCGGCGCCTCGGTCTCCGTCACATCCGGCAAGTTTTCAATGCAAAGTCAAGGCCTCAATCGATCCCTTGCGTCGACTAGGTCTCGACAGCTACGCGATACACCTAATAACGCGATTCAATAGGATTTTGAGCGTCCTTCCGCATACAATTTTAAATCAAAAAGGATTTTCTCGGATCTTGGAGTGTCGCGTAGCTGTCTAGACCTAGTCGATATCAGGGATATTTACTGCACGTAAATATTGCCCAAAAACCAAAAAATGATAATTCTCTGCTACAGTAACCGACGTGCTCTGCTTTGCCATCGGGCTTTTCTCGAATATGCCGGTCGTGCAGCTGTTTTGCCTGTACGTCTCCGTCGCGCTGTTCATCGACTTTGTGTACCAGGTAGCTCAATCTCTCCGTCTCTCTCACTCTCTCTCTCTCTCTCTCTCTCTCTCTGTCTCTCGCTCTGCTATAAATCCCACTTCAGCTGACCTTCTTCACGGCGCTGATGACGTTCGTCGTCCGCCGCCAAATCGCCATCGACGAGAAGCTGCAGGCCAGCGGGCAATCTGTAGGTTCTTTACCTTCAACAGCCTTTGAAAACCCGAGTTCCCAAAATCCAATCAACCAATTTATTTAGAGCGAGACGAGCTCGATCCAGCGGTGGCGGGACAAGCTGCGCGAGAACTCGATGCTGTCGCTGTCGTTTGAGACGAGCAAAAAGGTATGTCGGCAGTGGCGGCTCTTGGCTTCAATGGTCCTTTAAAACAAAAATCGGGCTTTCCAGAATTCTAGAGAAAACTTTCATTTCCAGTTTGTCCAAGAGACGAGCGCCAACTACGACTGGCTCGACTGGTTCGTCGACTGGCTTCACACCGGATGCGCCAAGTTCACCATAGCACTCATCTTCTTTGCGCATATCGGCGTGGGTTACGGTATTTGGGACGGGAAGGGGAAGGCTAGCAGAGATCATTTGGGAATGGAAGGGGCAGGCTAGCAGAGATCATTTTGGAATGGAAGGGGCAGGCTAGCAGAGATCATTTGGGAATGGAAGGGGCAGGGTAGCAGAGATCATTTGGGAATGGAAGGGGCAGGCTAGCAGAGATCATTTTGGAATGGAAGGGGCAGGCTAGCAGAGATCATTTGGGAATGGAAGGGGCAGGCTAGCAGAGAATTTTTGCGGTTCCAGATAAATTGCGTTTTAGATCAGCTCCTACCTGGCGACGAAGGTGAACACCGACTTCGACATGGAAAACCTGTACCTGGCCAACTCGCCGTTGACCGACATCAGCCGGCGTATGCAGGACTTCGTCTTGAAGGTATCTGATCGCCCACAAAATTATGATTGCCGGAATTAGGAATCCTTCGTCGACAACTTTGCCGTCTACCCGATGCCCGACTTTTCCAATGAAACGGTGGGGAATTTGGACCTTAAAGGGATTAGCCAATGCCAGAATAGACCTTTTCCCTCCACTAGATCTCGACAGTTACGCCACGTGCCAAAACATGAGTAGCGTCGTACCTGGGTCGTACGAAAATTCGAGAAAACTTCACTCTCGGGGCCCTGTAAATTTACGTTATCCATATTCTAGCGTGTCGCATAACTGTCCAGACCTAGTTGATGGAAGGGGTCGATTCTCGTGCTTTCTAGGTCCCTTAAAATAATATTTTTTTTCTTCCACGAAAATTGGTATACCTTTTTTAGTTATACACTACTTTATAGGTTCGCGACCGCTTCGAGGCAATGGTCAACCAGCTGGAGACGATCCCACGATTCTCCGGCGGGCCGAACAATACGAATTTGTGGTTGAGAAAGTATAAGGAAGTACTGTTTCTCTCTATCAAACGCACTCCCTCCCCCTCTCTCTCTCTCGCTCTCTCTCTCTCTCACTCGCTCTCTCTCGCTCTCTCTCGCTCTCTCTCTCGCTCTCTCCCTTCCAACTCTGTTTTTCAGACGATCGCCTTCTGGGGTGAAGACGAAGAGTCGTGGGCGGACCAGACGATGCTCGCCAACTTCCGTGACAACGACCTCGAGGAGAAGTTCATCACCATCGGGTTGGTATTGGCATTGGAAGGGGATAGGAAATGCGGTACCTAGCACATATCATTGAGGAAACAGCAGCCCCCCAAAACGCTTCTTTCCAGGAAAAACTCCGCCGGCAACGAGGTGATCGACGGGTTCTTCTTCAGCGTCGTCTACCAGAATCTGAGCTCGTTCCTGGAGGTGGAGGAAATGATGCAGATACGGTAGCACCGGACCTTTTACGTTTGTAACGACGTTTAAGCCGTAACATAATTGCGCAGTATCCAGAATTTACGGTTCACGCTCATCATCCGTTTGAAAAGGTGAGTGGGAGAGAGCGAGAGAGACAGAGAGAGAGAGAGAGAGAGAGAGAGAGAGAGGGAGGGAGAGGGAGAGAGGAGAGAAATCGAGAGAAACACAGTGATAGAGAGAGAGAGAGAGAGAGAGAGAGAGAGAGAGAGCGAGAGCGCGAGAGAGACAGAGAGAGGAGAGAGAAATCGAGAGAGAGAGAGAGAGAGACAGCGATCGAGAGAGAGAGAGAGCGCGAGGACAGAGAGCGAGAGAGAGCGAGAGAGGGAGGCAGAGAGAAAGCGGGACCGCTCCTTTTTCAAGTCTCATTATTTTCAGGTTCCGACCGAAAGTGCGGCAGCGGCTCCGTCGAACTTCTTGCAGACGGCGGGTAAGAAGATAGCGAATCAAACGAATTCAAAAAAAGTCATTAAATGAGTTAAATTCAAGACAAAAACTGTCCGGAATTTTTGGTAGTGAATTATTTTAACGCCAGATTTCTTCCAGATCATTATAATTTCTAATTCCCCGAATTACAGTATCCGCCGTCATCATGATGTCGCTGCTGGTGTGGGTGTTTGTGATGAAGGCCGAGGCAATTCTCTCCGTCTCGATTTCCATCGTTTCGATCTGCGTTGGTACGTAGTCTCTCTCTCTCTCTCTCTCTCTCTCTCTCTCTCTATCTTGCTTTCTCTCTCTCTCGCTCTCTCTCTCTCTTCCCATATCTCTCGCCTTAAGGTATCGTCGGCTACCTCCACGTGTGGGGTGTCCACCTTGACGCCGTGTCCCTCATCTCGATCCTGATGTCCGTCGGCTTTTCCGTCGACTACTCGGCCCACGTCTGCTACCACTACTTTGCCCATGCTGCTGACGCGGAGCATGATAGCGAGCAAGAAGTCGGTGCTAAGCCTAACAAGGGAAGTGCACGACCGGCCCACGAGAAATCGACACAAGACATAGTCGATCTGATAGAATCGGATACGGGGATTCCGAATCTGTAATCAGAATTTGCTAAATAAAACGGAGAAAAAAGTTACGAAGCATCAAAGTTGGCCAAATCGCCAAAAACGGTGCGTGGTGCCTGTCAAGTTCATAGAAGAGATTTTCGCGAAATCATCGTAAACTTGAAGTAAGATAGCTCATTCGAAAGCGCGTTTTTTCCTGAACAAGATGCACTAATGGGTTGTGGCAAATTTCCATTCCCTGGGCCTTTACAGGCCCATAAAAGTCCGATTTTGAACGATTTTGCCAACTTTGAAGCTTCATAACTTTTTCCTCCGTTTTATTTAGCAAATTCTCGATTCTCTCGGATCCACTATGTCTCGTGTGGATTTCTCGTGGGCCGATCGTGCACTTCACTTGTAAGTCAAGCTAAACCTAACTCAAGCGAAGCCTAAGTCTAAACCTAAGTCAAAGCCTAAGCCTAAGCTAAGCCTGGCTAAGCCTAAGATTCTGTTTAAGCTGAGTCTGAGCGGAAGCCTAAGCCTAAGCCTAAGCCTATGTCTAAGCCTAAGGCCAAGCATAGCCTGAGCTCAGCCTAAACCTAAAAAAGTAAGCCTAATTAAGCCAAGCCGAATCTCAAGCCAAGCCTAGGCCATGACAGTACCACGCCATAATTTTACCTTCCCTATTTTCAGAAAACCCACACGCACCGTTTCACGGTCAATGCCGGGCAACAAGAGTCGAAGCCGAGCAAGGGACATCAGGAGACGGTCGACACCAGAAAGCGCATCGTCGCCACGCTTCGAGGCGTCGGCTGGCCGGTCGTCCAATCCGGGATCAGCACCGCGTTAGGTGGGCGACTCGACCAGAATTACCTGGCTTTTAAAGGCATAGAAAGCCTCCAGAATCGAACCCTTTCAGCGGCTAGGTCTAGACAGCTACGCGGCGCTCCAAAACACGTCGTTATCACCGACTATAGCCGCTCTGGGTTTGAAGGTTCCAGCAAAAAAAATTCTTGAGCGCGTCGTTTGAACTGTCTAGACCTAGTCGATGGAACGGGTCGATTCTGGCCCTTCCTAGAACATTAAAGGTGCCGTGACATTTGCTGAAACAGCAAAAATTACAAAATGAGCTTTAGGAATGTTCCCTCTTCTCTTCGTGCACGCCTACGTGGTGGCCGTTTTTTGGAAGACGATCATTTTGGTGTCGATTCTGGGTGAGTTGACGACTTGATCTCTCTTTCTCGCTCTCTATCTCTCTCTGTCTCTCTCTTCCTGTCTCTCTCACGCTCGCACTCTGTCTCCCTCTCTCTCTCTCTCTCTCTCTCTCTCTCTCTCACGCTCTCGCTCTCTCTCGCTCCCTCCCCCTCTCTCTCCCTCTCTCATTGCATTATTCAGGAATGTTCCACGCCCTCCTCCTCCTCCCCGTCATCTTCATCCTCACCAACGACGCCAAGGAGCTGCTCAGCTGCCGAAAAAAATCCAAAACGCGCTCCAAGCCCAAGGTTCACCCTCAAAGGGATCGCCCCAGCTACATTGCCACAATTTCATAACATTTCCGAAGCTTATTTTTTAATAGAATCGCTTTCAAGGGGCTGGGAAGCGCGAGAATCCACCCCTTGCCAGCCACTAGGTCTAGACAGCTATACTGAACGCCAAAAAAAACGTCTGGACAGCATAGTTCTGTCGGATAAGTGCGGTTGTCTAGACCTAGTCGCCGGCAGGGGTCGATTCCCGCACTTCGCAACCCCTTTAATGCCCCTAAAAATCCTACAAACCAAACCCTGGATTTTCATTCCGTTTCTGTACTATTTGCGGCTCAATTCGACATGTTTTAGCTCATTTACCTGAATTTTCCGGTCCTTACGCTCCGCGGATGTTTGTGAATATTCCGTGCTACGCCCCCTCCCCATATACACACATTTTCGATTACGAGTATTTTTGTTTGGTTTGATTTTTTTTATCAATTTTTTCATAGTTTTTGAACTTTTTTTGTCGATTAATAAATGTTTAAAACTTGAATTTTCGTGTTTTGGGTGTTGCAGATTTTGTGGTCTCTGTCTCTCGCTCTCTCGCGCTCTCTCTCTCTTTCTGTCTGTCTGTCTGTCTCTCTCTCTCTGTCTCTCTCCGTTTCTCGTGCTCAATATCTCTTTTCGGCTTCAGTGAAAGCTGAGAATTAGGTCCAAGCGCCAGTTTAGGCCTAAGCCTAAGCCTAAGCCTAAGCCTAAGCCTAAGCCCAAGCCAGTTTCTCTGTGCTTTTCCTCTGCAACGTCCTGTGTATTTTCGCGTACTCCATACGATTCAATCAGCTTTAACCATAACAAAAATGATGGCGGCACACAAACAACGAGTGGATGCTGACGACAGGGAGATGTTCAGCGCTTCATCATCACTGCCCTTCAGCCATCGGCCTCTATGGCTTGGCGGGCTGGCCGGGGCGAGCCGGGCCTCCGGGGCGCTGTCCGAAGCGGGGCGGCGGGTTGCGGTCACGGCGGGCCTCGCGCGAACGATTGCGTACGACCTGGAAATGGCGGAATTGGGTTACGACGAAGTACTACGGTACGTCTAGGTAATGCTTTTCATTTCTTTTTATTTTTCCTTTTTCCTCGACTTGGGTTTCGTTTTCGCTTATGCGGCTTTGCTTAGATTTAAATCGAAATTTTTCCTAGGCTTAGCTTTTGTTTAAGCTTAGGCTTAGCCGTAGCTTGGCTGAGGCTTAGAATTGGCTTAGGCTTAGGCTGGGCTTAGACCTAGGTGGCTCGACTTAGACTTACGCGTGACTTCGTTTTGGCTTCGACTAGGCTCAGCCGTATGCGGAGGCTTCGGCTTAGGCTTCGGATAGGTCTGCGCTTAGCCTTGGGCTTAGGCTATGGCTTATGCATAGGCTTAGGCTTGGCTTAGGTTTAGGCTTAGGCTTATCTAGGAATTCCGGTATCCATGATAAGGCTATCGTATTTTTAAGGAGCATTGAGTTACACCTTCGACACTACTGACTACTGCAGTATCCGAAAAAACCCTGCTAGCCTGCCCCCTCCATCGCTTTGGGACCCACCTTAGAGTGGATGGCGCAGGCGACGCAGTAGAGCAGCTTGTGGTAGAGCTTCGGCAGAGTGTACTCTGGAATGGGTACGGTGAATCAAGGTCTAGGCGCGGAGGCGGCCCTTGCCCCTGGCGATAGCGGAGGCTGTGGGAAAGCGATTTATTGTAATTTTACGATAATCCTGAATTCTTGGATTCCCCAATGATATCTGCCAGCCTCCCCCTTCCATTCCCAAATGATCTCTGCTAGCCTGCCCCTTCCATTCCCCAATGATCTCTGCTAGCCTGCCCCTTCCATTCCCAAATGATCTCTGCTAGCCTGCCCCTTCCATTCCCAAATGATCTCTGCTAGCCTGCCCCTTCCATTCCCAAATGATCTCTGCTAGCCTGCCCCTTCCATTCCCAAATGATCTCTGCTAGCCTGCCCCTTCCATTCCCAAATCATCTCTGCTAGCCTGCCCCTTCCATTCCCAAATGATCTCTGCTAGCCTGCCCCTTCCATTCCCAAATGATCTCTGCTAGCCTGCCCCTTCCATTCCCAAATGATCTCTGCTAGCCTGCCCCTTCCATTCCCAAATGATCTCTGCTAGCCTGCCCCTTCCATTCCCAAATGATCTCTGCTAGCCTGCCCCTTCCATTCCCAAATCATCTCTGCTAGCCTGCCCCTTCCATTCCTAAATGATCTCGGCCCGCCTGCTCGCCAGATTCGTCATGGATTCCTGAAAAATCGCTGCTAGCCTGCCTGCTGAAAGCTATGTAGCCGAATTTCCAAAAAGATCTCTGCTAGGCTGCCTGTTGTAAATTGGAAAATTGTCAAATTTTAAATTAGAAATTAAATTAGTTAAATTGGAATGCCGTAACGAACCCCTAAATCTCTCTCCGTTTCTCTCTCTCTCGCTCTCTCCCTTTCTCGCTCTCTCTCTCGCTCTCTCTTTCTCACCTTCAAATATATCTCTATTCCACAATAAAATTAGCATAAAATGCGCCTACCGCTTCACCATTTGGGCAAGGCACCTGACCTCTCGCGATTGCGCTCACCGCCCTCCCTGCCCTGGCCCAAGGGACTGGAAGGACTCACGCTCGTAGACTGACGCTTCCGACAAGTCGCGGACGGCGGCCGCCTCGACAATGTTGCGCACGACGACCTTCCGGATGGCCTTATCCTTGGGGCAGCAGCGGCCGCAGTTGGTGCAGCGGATGAAGCGGACGTGGCCGCGGCCCTTCTTGTTGCGTCCGTGGTTTCTGCGCTTGACCGTCATGGTGGGTACCTCAAATTGTTGGATAGATTTTTTTCGCATTTTACTTAATTTTTATATATAAAAACAATGTAAAAAATAATAAAATAATAATCAAAATGATAAAAAAGGTACTGGACTGTTAGCGGGGGGAGCCCAAAATTTTCCCTGTGGTTCTATAGGGTCCTATAACAAAATATAACAATTTTTATAGCGTTTTACATAGTTTTTCGATATCAAAACAACATCAAAATATAAATTTTCGTAATTTTTTTGAATTTTTGGTCAAAATTCTATGAAAATGACCAAAAAACGTAAAAAAAAACTGAGTTTTCAAAATTTGAAAAAATGGTTTTCAATTAAAGTCATAAAATTGATTTTGATCCTAAAAAACAATAACAAATTCAGTTTTCAATAAAATAATAGCGTTTATCTGCAGTTTAAAGGCTAAAATTATAGTTACCAATTTCAGCGCCGCAATTTTTAGCCTATTTTAGGCCTTAATTTGCATAAATAAGAAAAGTTTAAAGATATATAAATGTTAAAATTATTTGTATCAATATCATATTATTTTAGGCGAATTTCCGAAAATGCCATATTAATTTTTGCCGCATTTTTAATGCTTGTAAAAGGGAAATCTATAAAATTTCGGTATATAATAAATAAGTAAATGCCAGAAATTTTCCTAATAATTTTTAAAAGCTTTAATGAATCGAAAACGTAAAGAATGGGCCTTAGAAATGATTCGGGAAGCGGGGGAAATTTTAGGCCCGTCGCCGGCTCGGGGGGTTACCGCTCAAAAGAGACGGCAAAGGGGACGGGGCGGTCGCGTCGCGGCCGGGGGCCTACTGTCGCTGGGACGCACTATTTCGAATGACAACGGCTGGCAGAAAATCTGATAGTTTGCCGAAAAATAAAATAATTAAAACCAATCAATAGATAAAATAAAAAGTCAATATCAAAAGTAAAATCTAGTCTTACAATTAAAAATTGGAACAAATTTGACATGTATAAAATTGAATTTTCGTTTAAAGACGCGAAAAACATTATGGAAAAGCCTAGGCCTAAGCTAACTCTAACTCTCACTCTAGGCTAAGCCGAAGCCCAAGCCTAAGCGGAAGCATAAGCCAAGCTAAACATACGCCAAGCTAAGCTAAGCGAAGCCCAATCCTAAGCCAAGCCGAGCCAATCCTAAGCCTAGCTCAAATTGTATTTTAAGGTTAAGGGACTCGAATTTAACAATTTATTCAGCTTCTTCTTGCTTGTATCGGCTGGGCGTCTTTTTCGCAGAGTACGGCACCGCCCCAGAGATACCTAAAGGCGAGAAAAATAAGAGTTCAAAAACAGAAACGAGAGAGAGAGACAGGCAGAGAGAGAGCGAGAGAGAGAGCGAGAGAGAGAGAGCGCCAAGACGAAACGATTACCATTGCGGATCGTGCGACCATGTGTAGTCGGGTCCCATCTCCGAGGCGAGGATGCCTTTGGGCTTATCCTGTTCTCTGAAATAACCCAAATTCTAGGCCAACTACAGTATCCCACGAGTCCCAGTTGAAATAGTCTGCCGGAGAGCCGTCGTAGTTGAACCAGCCGCCCCGCTCGAGTTCGTAGAATAAGCCAAATTCGATGGAATCTGGAGAAATGGGCATAAGGTTCGAAAACCTCTCTCACTCTCTCTCTCTCTCTCTCTCTCTCTCTTCTCTCTCCCTCTCTCGCTCTCTCTAACTCCCTCCCTCACTCTCTCTCTCGCTTACAGTCTGCCAACGACGCATTAATGTTCCGAATGAAGTAGTTCTCCTCGGCGCTGTGGATGCTGCCGATCGTCGAGTTGAGCTGTCTAAAAATTTCATATTAAAGAACCAGCAGCCCCAGAATCGACCCCTTCCATCGACTAGGTCTAGAAAACTACGCGACACGCCAATTCACTGTAAAATTATTGAGCCTTTTGTCAAAACCTCTGCAATTATGCGTGTTTTGGCGTGTTTCGTAGCTGTCGCGACCTAGCCACTGGAAGGAGTCGATTCTTCGGGTTTTAAAGGGCTTTAAAACGGTTCAGAAATCGAAGGCCCGACTCGCAATGGATGATGCGGGTGTTGAACTGATCCAGCGGCATCAGGTCAATCTTGTAGCATTTGTCGTTGTGCTGAAAAAGAGGGTAGAGAGAGAGCGGGAGAGTGAGTTAGAGAGAGAGAGAGAGAGAGAGAGAGAGGGAGAGAGAGAGAGAGCACTCACGTTCCAATACGTCCATCCGGGCTCGCAGCCCACCGGCGCTTCGTAGGGGGTCGTCTCCACGAAGGTTCCGGGCTTCGAGCAGACGACGGCTCCTCCCCAGATGACTCTAAAACGTCTCTCTCTCTCTCTCTCTCTCTCTCTCTCTCTCTCTCTCTCGCTCTCTTTACAAACACTCACTCCTGCCTGTCGTACCACCAAAAGTAGTCTTTCTCGATCCCGGAAGCCAGATTCCCCTTTGGCGGATCCTGCTCCCTAAAAACGAAAAATTTATTTGATGGAATTAGCCTTCACCGGCCCTTTAAGACACAAAATACCGTACCCGTCCCAATTAAAATAGTCGGCCGGGGTGCCGTCATCATTGTAAAAGCCCAGCTCGTCCGAGTAGAACAGCCCGAATTCGAGGCTGTCTATAAATTCTAATTTGCATAAAAACTCTTTCTCTCGCTCTGCCTCCCTCTTGCTCTCCCTCTATCTCTCGCTCTCTCTCTCTTCCTCTCTGCCGCTCTCTCTCCAAGAAAACACTCACAATCCACCAGCGACGCATTCACCGTCCTGATGAAGAAGTTGTCCATTTTATTGTGCAAACTGGCGACGTGCGCATTGTAGGAGCTGAAAAGGTATAGATTTTTGACGGCGTTCTGATCGGTAAATCGAAAAACTACCGGCAATGCTGAATTCGGGTGCTGAAATTTCCGGGTGGGACGATTTCGGCTTTGTAGCAGAGGCCGGAAAGCTGAAAGGTCCGACTCAATATCTCACTCTCTCTCTCTCTCTCTCTCTTTAGCTCTCGCTCTCTGTCTCTCACTCTCTCGCTCCCGCTGTCTCTCTCGCTGTGTCTCGCTCTCGCTCTCTCTCCCTGTCTATCTGGCTCTCTCCTCGTTTTCCACGAAAATCTCCGCTAGCCCACCTGGTAATACGTCCATCCCTGCTCGCACGGGGTGTGATACGCCCCGCATACAGTAGCCCACCCAAAAAATAGGAAAAAGCTAATTAATTTCAGCATTTAGGGTATACCAAAAAGTCAGACGTTGCCGTCACGCCATGCCACACCGCCAGAATTGATCGGCTCGGGAGTAATCGGCTTAATTGCTGGGTGGCTGGCTGATCGCGTCTAATTTGTCTGAAATCTCGAGAAGCGTCTTTTACAAAAGCTCTAAAATTAGGTTTTTGTCAGTGTCTTTAAGAGTGTTCATTTCTCTCTCGCTCTCTCGCTGTCTCTCTCTATCGTTCGCGCTCTCTTTCTCTCGCCGCGCTCTCTCTCATTAGCTTTCCCCTCGATCTCTCTATCTCTCTATCTATCTCTCTCTCTCTCTCTCTCTGTGTCTGTTCGCATCTCGGAGCGTTATAGAAGGGAGAGAGAGGGAGAGAGAGGGAGAGAGAGAGGGGGAGAGAGAGGGAGCGAGAGAGGGAGAGAGAGAGAGAGAGGGAGAGAGAGCAACAGAAGGAGAGTGACAGAGAGAAAGGGCGAAAGAGATCAACAGACGGTCCCTAACTTTTTCCAATTTCCGGTAGCGGGCTTATTTTGCTACTCGTTGGTTACTGATAGGCTGTCCCAGAGCGCCGGAAGTTACTATCAAAATCGGCTAAAAATTGCGGCTTATCAAGGCGAAGGCTCATTTCCGGCGTTCGCACTATCGAAGGAGACGTGCAGGTTGTGTGGGTTTAGCGCAACGGGCCTAGAAAATTAAGCTAAAAGATTTTGATGGTCAGAAGCTACACTTTTTTGGTGCTTGTTAGTCCCGAATATTTCCCGAATTAATTGTTCGGCTTCAAGATGGGTCAAAGCCCGCCGAGGCGATTATCGGGACACGGGTTCTAGTTCTAGTCTTGGATATCTTTCTGTCTATGTCTCTCTCACTCTCTCTCACTCTCTATATATCTCTCCCCCCTCTCTCTCTCTCTCTTTCTCTCTTTCTTTCTCTCTCTCTCTCTCTCTCTCTCTCTCTCTCTCTTCTCCTAAATTCTGAATTGGTCCCCCGCAAGATAGTGGCCGGCGCGTGACCCCTTCACGGTTTTTCAGCCCGGATCCGAGTCGTTTTTTGGGGGCTTTTTTTCAGGAAAGATAAGCGTATGCGATCTATGCTCGAATGGTCACAGTCTGGTTTAGTGTTTTAAAGGCGCTGGGAAGCACGAGAATTCTTCCCTAGAACCGACTAGGTCTAGACAGCTGCGTAAGATGCGAAAACACGTGCCAATCTGGCGGGATGGCCCCTGGGATTACGGTACAAATTTTCAAATACAAATTTTCCAGTTTTTTCGAGAGTTGCGTCGCAATCTAGACCTAGTCGACTGGAGGGGTCGATTTTTTTGCTTCCGGGGGCCAGAAATACGGAAAGCGAGAGAGAGAGCGAGAGCGAGAGAGAGAGACAGAGCGAGAGAGAGAGAAATAGAGAGAGGGGGAGTGAGAGAGCTAGAGTGAATGAGCGAGAGATAAAAAGAGACAAAGAGAGAGAGCGCGAGGGAGAGGGTGAGAGATAGCGAGATAGAAAGAGTGAAAGAGAGAGCGAGAGAGAGAGAGAGAGAGATAGAGAGCGGGTCGGAGAGAGACATATAGATCGAGCGAGCGTGCGAGCGAGAGAGAGAGTGAGAGATAGAGAGGGTAGCATGAATTTTGTAAGCTTGGTCCCTGTAAAAAAATTCCGCTAGGTCGGGACAACCATCTTACTCCAGTCTTTTCGAGTGACATCAGCCCCCATACCAACAAAACAGGGATTTATGGCCTAGCGAACCGGCCGGCCGGTTCGACGACCATCAACGGTTCAAGGTTTCGGCTATTTTCAGGCCAAAAGGAGTGGTTCCCAGCGGTACTCTGGGTCAAAGTTTACGAGGATTCGAAAAACAACAGCAACTAAAATCTAGGCAATTCGTCTCGTTGTAGGTGCCGCAAAGCCGGTGAATTTCAGGATTTTCGACAATCAGCAAAAGTTAGGTGTGATGGTTTTCCTAAAGGAGCTCACAATTTCGTTTTCCTAAAGGAGCGAGCGTTTTCCGAAATTCCACCATGTCTCCGCGAGGTTCCCTTGTCAGGAAGCTCTCCTATTGGATAGCGGGGGGCTTTGCGTACCGCGCGAAAAGTATCTAGAATTGGCAATGTTTAGATTAATTCTCTCACACACTCTCGCTCTCGCTCATTCTCTCTCTCTCTCTCTCTCTCTCTCTCTCTCTCTCTCTCTCTCGCTCGGCCACTTTTTGGTCCCATGCCAACCTGGGGGGACCCCCCCAAATAAGTGATAAGCCTTCGATTGGAACCGTTTTTCCGGCCCCGATTCCTTATGCGGGTCTGACCTCTTCCATACGATTCGATTAACACGTGTGACTGGTCGAAATTTGAGAAAGCCCCCTGTTTTTCGCGCATTCTGCCGGGGCTTGGAAGGTCAGGGACGTAGCGTAATACCGGCCCCGGGGGCCCGGGCCCCCCCCCCCCGAAATCGGCCGGGGCCCGAAAATTTCATAAGGGGGGACCCTTATGATTTTCATTTTCTCAAAAATTTTGCTGCCTGCGGCGCTATTTTTTCACTTTTTTTACGGCTATTTGTAGAGGTACCTAACCTTTTTTTCAAAAAATTTTGCCTGCGGCGCTGCTTTCTCGTTAATGTTTTCAGTGTTTTGGTAAAAATTTTTGGGGGCCCCCCCCCCCGAAATCTTTTTCTGGCTACGCCCCTGTGGAAGGTGATAAGCTGAGCCGGGGTTGGCTTGGGATGGAAATGCCAAATTAAAAGTTCAAAATATGCAGATCAAGTTCGGTTTTTTTGCTGACCGTCCTACACTGATAAAACGTGGTAACTTGAGCATTTTCAAGAAATTGAAAGCTTTAAAGATGCTGAGAAGTCAAAAATCCATGTAAAAATGAGTTTTGCTAGGTTTTGAAGAGGCCAGGAAGGCCTGCGAACGCGCCGCAGCGCTACAGCATTTTCGCGCGCGCTCTCTCGCTCTCTCTCTCTCGCTCTACCACTCTCTCGCACTCTCTTCCCCCCTTTTCTCCTTCCCAATAATCAAATGGAATTACTCACTCCTCGAAATTGTCCATCACACCCCCAAATCCGGCTTGTTGTTGTTTTTCACCCCGAAATTTCGAAAAAGACGTGCACTGTACCTGTCCGGCCCAACGTGTCCAATTTTGGACTGGATTTTTCCTGGAAATTCCAGGTGATCAAAAGATCAGCGGCATGAAATATTGGTTTCCGGTTACCCGTTGCCCTTTTAAAAAGCGTCAGTTTTTGCCTCCATCCAACCCTTTAGAGTTATACGTCCCTTCAAAGTCCAATTTTTCTACCATCCAACGCTGCAGCTTCTGACGTGCGCTTCGAGGGCTACGTGGGCGAATGGGGCCCCCCATTTTCCCATTAACCCTCCTATAGGGCGGATTTCGAGGGGGTACGCGTCTCTCTCCCTCCCTCTCTCTATCTCTCCCTCTCTCCTCTGTAGAGCCTCATTTTGGTCTGAGGGCACCACCAACGTGCAGGGGCCATTATTTAGGGCGAGCCAGACCCACGGCAGAAAAATGCCCAATGATGGGACCGCCGTTCCTCGGCTTTTTCGGGGTGTGCTTTTGGAAATGTCGGCTCGCGTAAAATGTCGTTTTTGGAGGACAAAAGGAATGAAAGAGAGAGTGCGCGACAGAGAGAGAGGGGGAGAGAGAGAGGGAGAAAGAGAGAGCGATGGCCAGAGGGAGAAAGACGGAGAGAGAAAGAGAGCGAGAAAGAGAGAGAGTGAGTGAGAGAGGGTGAGAGAGAGCGATGGCCAGAGAGAGACAGAGAGTGAGACAGAGAGAGAGAGAGAGAGAGAGAGAGAGAGAGAGAGCGGGAAGAAGAAGCCACGTTCTACTTCTCAAATGATCTCTGCTAGCCTGCCCCTTCCATTCCCAAATGATCTCTGCTAGCCTGCCCCTTCCATTCCCAAATGATCTCTGCTAGCCTGCCCCTTCCATTCCCAAATCATCTCTGCTAGCCTGCCCCTTCCATTCCCAAATGATCTCTGCTAGCCTGCCCCTTCCATTCCCAAATGGTCTCTGCTAGCCTGCCCCTTCCATTCCCAAATGATCTCTGCTAGCCTGCCCCTTCCATTCCCAAATCATCTCTGCTAGCCTGCCCCTTCCATTCCCAAATGATCTCTGCTAGCCTGCCCCTTCCATTCCCAAATGATCTCTGCTAGCCTGCCCCTTCCATTCCCAAATCATCTCTGCTAGCCTGCCCCTTCCATTCCCAAATGATCTCTGCTAGCTTGCCCCTTCCATTCCCAAATGATCTCTGCTAGCCTGCCCCTTCCATTCCCAAATGATCTCTGCTAGCCTGCCCCTTCCATTCCCAAATGATCTCTGCTAGCCTGCCCCTTCCATTCCCAAATGATCTCTGCTAGCCTGCCCCTTCCATTCCCAAATGGTCTCTGCTAGCCTGCCCCTTCCATTCCCAAATGATCTCTGCTAGCCTGCCCCTTCCATTCCCAAATGGTCTCTGCTAGCCTGCCCCTTCCATTCCCAAATGATCTCTGCTAGCCTGCCCCTTCCATTCCCAAATGGTCTCTGCTAGCCTGCCCCTTCCATTCCCAAATGATCTCTGCTAGCTTGCCCCTTCCATTCCCAAATGATCTCTGCTAGCCTGCCCCTTCCATTCCCAAATGATCTCTGCTAGCCTGCCCCTTCCATTCCCAAATGGTCTCTGCTAGCCTGCCCCTTCCATTCCCAAATGATCTCTGCTAGCTTGCCCCTTCCATTCCCAAATGATCTCTGCTAGCCTGCCCCTTCCATTCCCAAATGATCTCTGCTAGCCTGCCCCTTCCATTCCCAAATGATCTCTGCTAGCCTGCCCCTTCCATTCCCAAATGATCTCTGCTAGCCTGCCCCTTCCATTCCCAAATGATCTCTGCTAGCCTGCCCCTTCCATTCCCAAATGGTCTCTGCTAGCCTGCCCCTTCCATTCCCAAATGATCTCTGCTAGCTTGCCCCTTCCATTCCCAAATGATCTCTGCTAGCCTGCCCCTTCCATTCCCAAATGATCTCTGCTAGCC